ATATTGTCGGTGTTAGTTTTTTTGTGTAATATTTATAATAAAAATTATCATTCAAACAATTTTTCCAAAATCTTTGTATAAATTCAAACCCCAAATAAAAAATATCGTTTTGTTTCGGCATTACTCTGGAGACTTTATAAAAAGATCTTCATAACACGAAGTATAGTGCTTCGTTTAACCAATGGTCCTTAAGGCTTTCTGTTGCGATTTGTGGATGTTTTTCCTCGCCGAATGAGGCCAAAACAAATTAATTTATAATGCATTTCACCTGTTAACTTTATCTGGGCTGGACAAAACAATCAAGAATTTTGAATTTAAGTGTGAAGCAATTTTTTAAAATTTCTCAATTCAGAGAAAAATCAAATTTAAACGCTGTTGACTGTAATTGTTTTTAAGTGTTGTTTGCACAAGCGGATATGTACACACATAATTTTATTGTCTGGCCTGTTGACAGATGTTTAACTAAAACAAACATACACACACACACACACACACACACACACACATAAACACACACATGCACACACAAACACGCACAAACAAACACACATACACACATAAACACACACACTCACACATACATAAACATAAACATAAACACACACACACACGCACAAACAAACACACACACACCAGTGTTTGAATACCCTCTGGACAGCAAGCAACATGACACTCACTCAGCTCGAGATTATTTTTCAAGAAGCCATAACATCGAACTTCGTCAGGAACTCCACAAATCTCGGATAATATGTCGGCCCATTTATACACGTGCACGTAAGAAGCTCTAAAAGCAAAATTACTTTTGCTAATCCATTCACACAGGAGTAATTAAAACTATCCATTTATAAAATTTTTCATTTTATTATGAAATATTTCAACGTTGTTGAAGTACGCAAGTATTTTGTCGTGTGTTAAGTGTGTGTGTTTGAGTGTGTGTGTAAAAAACAAAAAACTATCCAGCATCATTTGGCAGTTGAATTTGAGAAATGGAACAACACAACAGGACAGAGTTCCAGCTAGGAAACAAAGTCAACACACACAAATATTGGCTACTTGGAAATTTCAGAAACAAATAGTAAAACAACAAATGTTTTATTAACATTTGACTGGAGTTGTAATTTTTTAGATTCCTGTTGCACAAGAAACAAAATTTTATATAATTTTATTATAGAACTTGTATTACAATTAAAACGATTACATGCTAATGTGAAGAACGATGCAAAAAATACATTTTCGAATTTCCAGCCATTGAAGTTGTCAATAAAACTTAATGTGTCTTTACATATCCTTCCAATTTCCAACCAATAAGCCTTAATAGTTTTACTGAAACTATCATAAAAATATAATAATAATAAAGTTAAATTGATGACAGATATAATAATAACGAAAATAAAATGAAAATAATTACCTGCTATAAAAATAATAATTTATTATATAGAGGCATAAAACCTCTTGAACGTCGTGAAATGCTATAAAAAATGTACACACCCACACAGAGAGGAAGTTATTTTCGCCAGACGAGTTTCCGAACTATGCAGAGTTAGGATTTAATGGCCTTTCAATATTTGGCTTTTACGTTTAGAAGAAAAAAAGAGTTATTAACCGTAATTTAGCTGGTGAATTTTTAGTTGATATGTATTTTTAATTTCATTTTTGATGGGTTTTTTTTTTATGAGCGCTCTTATTAAATTGCTGATCAACATCTTCATCATCATTGTGTCGTGGCAATCATTATCATCCTATCCTCATCAGGTCATCGTCCTCATCATAGGTTTATCATCCTAGTCACGTTACCTCCAGCATCATTATTATATTCGTCTTCCTTTTTATCATCCATCAGTTTGGCCATGCAAACATCTTTCTTTTCATCAAAAATTATCATCATCATCATCAGCATTTCGTCATAATCATCATAATCGTCATCAGCATTATCATAAATGTCATTGATATCCTCATCATCATCATCATCATCATCATCATCATCATCATCATCATCATCATCATCATCATCATCATCATCGTCATCATCATCATCATCATCATCATCATCATCATCAGCCTATCTTCATCGATATCTCACCATAATTATCACCACCACCATCATCTTTTTCACAAAATATCATTAATTCCATCCTCATTATGGCATCCTCATTATGGCAATTAATAATCACCCTTATCTACGTTTTATCATCAGCTGTAGGTACGTCATCTTCGGCATATTTTAATTAAATTTTTAAAAAGAAATTTTAATGGGTCTGTGAATACTGAATGAAATTTTCATAAAATATTTAAGAAAATTGAAAAATGTTTCTCTCCAAGTGGAAACAATTTTTTTTATGCTCCATTCTCCCAATCAAAAAAAAACATTCTGTCAGCGTTTGACGAACAAATTTCACAGAAATTTGGGCGTTGCGTTGAAGGAAAAAGCTTTTTTTCAAAGATATTCATTTTATTTTTTATTTCTAGACGTTTGTCTGCCATCCATCAACCCTGGCTTTTGATCTGTAAAGTCTTGAATTGTTTGTATGAAAATATCTCCCGGCAACATAATTATCACCGTAATCGTCAGCGTCATACTTGCTTCATCATTTTCAAATCAAAAGTTTAATTTAATTTATTATTTTATTATCTTTCAAAAAAATAGTTAAAAAATTATAAATTATATATTAAAAAATTAATTTATCATAACCACCTCTGACCACCTCACTTGTTAGAACTTAACATTCTAATGTCATGTCTTCTCTCTTAACGCCAGTACTTTTAAATCATCGTCGCCGGTGAAGTAAAAAAAACACTTGTTTGCACATTTACAACTATAGTGCACGCATGCATGCATGCCTGATTGAATGAATGCATGCATGAATGTCTGCATGCATGCATGCATGGGTTGCTTGGAATGCGCTGCATGAAATGTTCGTTTAATAATTCACGACCTACAAAAATGGAATGACTCGCCGAGGCGTCGTTTGACGATGTTGACAGTTTCCGTCACCACCCCTGAAGTTATGATGATGATACTGGTGATGATGATGATGATGCTGGTGGTGATGATGATAACGATTATGATTGGGGTAGCAGTGATGATGATGATCATGGTGACGATAATGATGATTACGTCGGTATCATACTTCCATGAAGTGTTAATGTGTTAACGTTGTTCAGTGACTGAATTTGAAATATAAACAAAGAATGTTTGAGGAAGTTGCAACGGGCTTTTTTTTCCATTTGAATTTTTTTTCCGGAAAAAAAAAATTTTTCCGCTGATTGGAAAATATCGTAAATCAGACACTGAATAACGGAAAATTGATTTCGCTGATTAGAATGTTTGCAGTTGCTTAAAATCTTCAATGAATTACATTTCAGATGAATTTGTCCATGTGAGTTTAGGTATGCGTAATGTTTCCTGAACCGTCTCTTGCCTGGCCGTGAAATGTACACCAAACAAGAGCACGCATATATATATTTATAGAAGAGTAAATGTTGAATCACAGAGAATTGTAATTGAAGATACAGAAAAAAAAATAAGAAGATTGTTTTTCATTTCAGCTTTTGTATGTAATAGTTGTAAACGAATTTCAGCTTTGTCAACCAAAAACTCAATCAATAATTGAAAAAAATGTTCATTTACGCAAGTTTTAAACTTGTTGTTGTTTGGTTTGTTTTTTGTTATTATGTTGTTTATGTTGTTAAATATTATACTCTTGTTTTTTAGTCATCAAGCGATTTTAATTAGCAATATTGTAATAGACACAAAAAACAATATTAGAAGCAAACGTTAATTAACCTGGCTCATACTTTTTATTACTCCTGAAAGAACGAATCTGTGTGCAAGCTTAATGATTGTAATTTTGTGAAACTTTCGCTTGCAAAATCTTGCGCATACTTCTTGAACATTTTTCTTTCTTATTGAATGTTTGTTCTTACAAATTTTAATGATTATATATATATATATATATATATATATATATATATTTATATATACGTAATATACATAAAGACAAATTTCCACCCCTATACGTCTTTCGTAATTGTAGATGCAAGCCAACATCACGCCATATAAATATAAATACACCACACATATAATATTTGCATGTATCAAAAAAATATTTAACACTTAATGTTGTGATTTGTTATCTGGTTTACAGTGCTGAATTCAATCGGATTATATGCAGTCTTTTCATATTTTCAATTCAACATGTAATATAATTTTTTGAAATACGCAAAGCTCGTTCGTACTAATCAGCGTCAACCTCCATCATAAGCTCACCGGGAAAGTTGAAATTTGATGGTGCGTTCTATCAGTACATCTGACAACAATTACAGACTGAGTTTTTTACAATTTTATAATTGTTTAATTTTTAGTACTTTAAGAATCAAAATAAAATTGTGAAGTTGTCTTGATTAAGTATGATTTGTTACTCAACACAGAACTTTTGAATGAATAAAAATGTGGATGCATTGCACGAGTTGAATTTATTGAACATTCGACACCGTCTAGCGGCTAAAAAATTTTCTAAATGATCTTCTCATTAACGCTAATCTTAATCTTCTATAGAGTTTTTTTGAGTATTCTATCCAATTATTTTTTTTTATTAAATATCATGAACTGGTACGTGTAAGTTCTGGCAAACTTTTGTAATAAATATGAAAAAAGTGAAGATTAAATAAATAAGAGTCAGTTTTTATTATCATGGAAAGCATAAATAATTTCTTTCTCAGCATCTACATACAAACAACAACGTATGCATCTGTTATGCTAATGCAGATGGCATTTGCCAAATGTCCAAGCCGCGAATGTTTATGGCGTTTATAGGCAATGTCAACCGTGTCCTATCATGCGCACAGTATTCATGCGGCGTTTAAGATATGCAATGTTAACGTTGTCATTCGATGTTTATGCAAATCATATGGCAGACATTGGGCAAACATTTATGCTGGCTTCTACTTTAACTTGCTTCATACCGGATTCAAAAATATCTTTTTCGTAATAAATTTATTTTTTATCGTACCATGATTCGTTCGAGTTTGTCGGCGTTTAAAATTAGTTGGCCGTCTGATTTACTTATGTTTTCATCATTATTCAAACTGCTTTGGTTGTAAGGCAATCGCCATCATCATCATCATCATCATCGTTGTGGCAAAGGTTTTTATATCAATTCTTGTTTGTTTAGCTATCAGCAATCACGCATTTTTTTTTATTCTAATAACTTAAGTTTTTGTCTTTAGGGCAATAATAAAAAAACATATTTATTATTAAAATTTTTAAAATTGTTTCCAAAAATGAGTTAATTTTTTGGTTTAATTCAATGCTGTAGTTGACAATTAGCAAAATTTGAAAAGCTGTTTGAATCGCCAATGTAAGCACTCAAAAACTCCCAACAACACCAAACGTGAAGAGAATACTGACTAGGTGAGAGTACGTTTGCATGGGACCATTGGAAGAATTTCATCATTTGACATAAAAAATATCCTCATTGTCCATGCCTGACAGTGAATCAAATGCAGATAATTGAAAACTGGATTTAATGCACAAGACCTAAGAACTAGAGCAAAAAGATGCTGCAACAACCTGCAACAACATGCAACAACCACACATATGAACATTCAGCAGCACACAACACACATGCGGCATGCAACAACACACACAAATATGCAACACACGGAAACATGCAACATACATGACCGCACATCAACATTCAACATGCAACAAACAGCAATATGCAGCAACACACAACAATCTGCAACAACACGCAACAACATGCTACAGTGTTCAACAACACTCTGTGCAGCAGTAACAAAAAAGAAATATATTACAAAAAAATCTATTTACAAGAACTTAAATTATTATTATATATTCAATAATTTTTTTATCGTTAAAATGGTTTGATGGTAAAAAAATAAAGTTTCAACATTTATTATGCCAAAAATTTATGAATTGTTTTAGTTAAATCTTCTCAAATAAAGTTAAGACATGTTCCATTTAATTACTTTGTTCTATTTGCCAGCTAATAAAACTGCGGTTAGTATGCAGTGTCAGGCAGCTTCATTATTCATGTATAAATTTTTTTTGCACTCCGATAAGTGCAACGGTGGTTGGATGAATTCCATTCAAAAGTAGCCCTGCATAATTCAATACATTCCATCACGTAATCGGGCGCCCTCGACAATTGGTCTGCTCAGTTGATGTGTCTCGCGTGTGTAACGAAACTTTGAAACATACTGGAGCACTGCTTTGAAGGAATTATTTTTTAGTGGAATTATTAAAAGAAATTTAAAAGAAATTGTTTATTCGTACGTGTGCAGTTGTGCTGATAAAATAATCAGAAAAAAATATGATTCTGAGCATGCAGGTTTGAATGCTGTAATGGATAACTTGTTGAATGTTTGCAAAAAAATAGTTTTGGTAAATATATCCTTAACAATTCAAGCTTACGAAGTTAGTAGACAATAATTTCAACGAATGTAGTTAGGCTTTTTACAGTATAATCATATGAAAATACATGTGAATAAATTTGATAGTTGTTTTTTTTAATCTTTTCACCAGTTTTATCCTCAACACATGTAAGTAACTCGCTTGCAGAATAAAAGTATCAAACGTTTTTTGATTAGATCTGAAAATCTGTATTATGAGAAGAAAAAGTATGTTTTCTGAAATAATTAAATTCTTGAGTTAAAGACTTCTTACCCTTATTCATATCCATTTAACACAATTGCTTCAATAAAATTTGGCTTCAAACCAATTGCACAAAATTTTGCATCGTTGCAAAGTTTTGCAGCATTCAGATTTCAAAGCAAATTAAATCAAAAATCTAATTTGGGTGATGTGTTTAAAAATTCCAAACAGGTTACGTGAGTTTTGTTGATTTTCTCAAAATCCGAACAAGAATGAACTCACTGTCATTGTTCCAATGTTTGCCTTTTGAGGCATGATTTTGAAGAGTTTAGCATTTGTTGAAAATATTTTGTAACTTCAAATCTGCTAAACAAAATAGAAGCAAGCAAAACATTAGGACAAAAATCTGTTTGTTACTACATCATAGTAAAGTGAGATCACAAATTAATGAAACTTATTACCTGCAATCCTTAATTGGTAAATAGCTCCCCCCATCTGATCACCATACAAAGTACCTCAGGAGGTTGCACATGTTGACATGTATAATATAAGTGTACGTGTATATGTACAATGTACATTGTACATACGTGAATACAAATTTATAAAGGTTGTGTATGTGTACAAGTAATTTTATGTTATGTCAAATAACTGATGGCGAGTGCAAATTATGTTACGTCTTTAGTGCTGTTGAAAAGTTACAAAACAAGCACACACATTTCTTATTTTACAAATTTATACAAACACATTTACACGTGTGCATTTGGTTGAATAACACGCTTTGAATGAGATACATGGTTGAATGAGATACATGGATGAGATACATGGCGGGTACATGGTTGCATGTGTTAGTTGGTACTAGGAACTCTTCTGGGGTTGCAGATTGCACCTTCTCTTCATACTGCTTCAGAGACAAGCTTGCACTGAAGCACATCATACCAGAATGTTCATACACAAATACATATACACTCATACACACGTTCACAACTAAAAAACTACAGTCACACAATATTATACATCGAACAAGTGGTTGTATATAGGTAATTAAAAAACCAAAAATGTTGACATATTAAAAGTTTTATATATATTATATGATTAGCGCATGACCCAGACATAAACACACAGACACAAATATGCAAAGATCTAATAGACATTATATTGTTGTAACTCTTGAAAATTCAGCTTCCGACAATCGTCAAGTGTTCGTTATTCCGTAGGTTCAAGATGAACACAACTGCTTCAAACGCAAGCCTTGTTGAACGTTTATTTGAATATCAACAGTAATAGAAACAATAAACTAATCCATGTAGCTACATAAATCACATTTACGATTTTGCTTTCTTAGCTGGAAACCTGACTGTAAACCTGGTTACGCGGACATTGTATAACCTAGATTTTTAGCATAGATTTATTATTTCCTTACAATCCTCTATGGTTTACAATCCAAAGAGTACAAACGTAGCATAACAAATAATATAGCGCAATTCGATCATTTCCGCGGTATCTTTAACGGTATCTTTAGATCGCAGTAACAGTATCTTTAAAAATTTGGATACTGTGTGCAAGTACATGAAACGTGAATTTTTTCTATTTTTCAATTTTGCTTCCAAAAATTTTTAACTTTTTCGGTTTGTAAATTATTCTTGGCACAGAATTGATTTATATTTCAATTTGTTGAAAAAATTTAAAAAAAGAATTATTAAAACAAATTTTGTAAAAATCGTGAGTGAATTTTTATCACGTTTCAACTAGTTTTCTAGCGTTACCTGCTATCAAACCCTTCAAACACCAGCTATCATCCCATCATCCACATTTAAAATGGTCCGATCAAATGGTTTCTTCAGAAGTAAAGACGACGTTTTCGCTACGCTCAGTATACAAACTTCACGCCTTCGTTAGGCTGTTGGCTTGTTTGTGAATCATGTAACTGAGTTGTAACCATTGTGCAATCTTGACACCAACCAACCAACAAAGTAAATACGAAGAAAACAATAAAACTAGCGATTTATTGAGAAAATATCTGGATGAGTGATAAAAGAAATGAAATTTTGCTTATAAACATTTTTGGCCTTTGTGTTTTAGGTCTTCGTTGGAACAACTGGAATGGATAATTCTAGTTTGAATTTTTACTCGAGTGCCAAACATATTAGGCAATTTGATCATCGGTCATATGAAACAACAAATGAACATATTTTTTGACACTGTGGGTGTTTGTATTTCTATTTTTCAACTTTCTTCTTCTTCAATTGTACTCAACTGCGTCAACGTCAGCCTAAGGAAATTTAACGTCTGTCCTTTGAATCAAAGTTCATCTTTTGATATTATTCATTTAAAAATTTATATCTGTATACCCTGAATAATTTTATTGTAATATAAAGATGGGCAACAAACAAACAAACAAACGAATGAACGAACGAACAAACAAACAAACGAATGAACGAACAAACGAACGAACAAACAAACAAACAGGCAAGCAGGAAAAGAAGCAAGTTAGCAAGCATACAAACAATTGAACAAACAAATATGGGTTGTTTTGGTGATATCAAGATATAAATGATAATATTGTAATATGAATAAATGCTAATGTAAATCATTTAAAAAATTGATCAAATATCGATTGCTTGACACTCATTCGATGTTTTGAGTTATAAATAGTTAAAATTGTTTGTAAAATTTCAACACAATTTTTTATTTTTTTTTCTGAGTAAGATCATTAACCCTTTATTAAATTTGTTTTCAACTTAATGACAAATCATTCCAATCCTTCTCGTAGGACTGCCTCAGTTTAGAGGAGAGAGCTCCTTCAATTAAATATTTAGTCGCTCTAACATTCACTACATTATACAGTAATAACCTTCTTATAAATTGAGTGTTAGTTCTTGGCTCAAAATTAACATCTGTTGTCTAGTGAATTTTTGTATTTTGCGATTTTTCTTGACTTTTCTGTCCCTTCTATCACTTGCTGATTTCTCGACCGGAGAATAAGTTGAATGAAGATGGAAAATAAAAAACTACGAAAGTTCATACTAGAATATTTTATTCATTCAAAATAAAATTTGAACGTCAATATATATCAAGATATGTTGTTCATTTTCATTATATGTAACTTTGTTGGCGTTAAAATGGATATCTATCACGACAAACCAGATAAAATTTATTATCAATTCTTGTTTTAGGAGAACTTTGTGGGCATTGAGGTTTTGCGTGTGACTTCTCTTCTAAACGATAGGTAAAGTTATTCGCCTTAAAATGGCCTTGCTGAAAAAAATATAATGTTATGTCATTATTAAAGCTGCAATTGCAACTGTGTTAAGATGTTTTGTTAACATGTTAATGTTGCCCCAGTATTAGAATATCTTCTGAATTTCAAAATGATTTGAATGTCATTTTTTGGTATATTTTAAAGATATGTTGCTGTTTTTTCACTGCTGTTGTGATTAGAAGTTATTAATAGCCACAAGTGCAATGCTTTTACTACGTAATTATATGCTTCATGGAAGTTCTAACTATGTTCTTAAATTAATTATATTGTTACAAGTTTTTGTTTTCATTGTCATGAAATTTTTGACGATTATACTTCAAGTTTATTTGTCATTTTGGTGCTTTTATCTAGAAATAATATTTTGCCCTAACAATGTTAGTAAATTTTGTCAACATTGAAGCACGCTAAAGCTATTGAAATTGCACTTTTTAGTTGGTTGTGAAAATGAATTACAACTCCCAATAGGTCAATAGTTGAACTTAAAATTTCTTGTCTACAATCCTTTTTACGTTTTCATTTTTTTTTTAAATTTTAATGCAAAATTTGCCCTTATTATTTGTGGTTGATTTGTTAGGAACATTCCACGTTTTTATCTGACCCCCTTTTTTTGGTTACCAAATTCAGTGCGGATCTCAAAACTCATTTTTGCAAAGTTTGTCAAGAAGCAGAGTGGAATACGTCGGGAAGAGCGCTTTCTAAATTAATTAGTTGATAGGTTTTGAAGTTGTTTTTAGTAATTTTTTTGTTCATTTTATGATTTTTATATTCACTCTTGAAAAGTTCTCGAAGGATTTTCATATGCATAGTTGGATAATATTGTTACTGTGCTGCTGTTTTTGTGTTATTAGTGACAAGAATTTTTTCTTTTAGTAGCATGTTTTATAAATATATTAACCTTTACACTGTGATTGTTTTGATCTCGTGTAAACTACAATTAATCATGTTTCACTTGTACCCAAAATAAATTTATTTCATGCAAAATTAAATAAAAAGAAATCCTAACCCATAAAATTTTATTTTCAACTTTCTGGCCAGTTATCATCGTTCCCTCAGAAAGTTGATCATAGTAAATGCATAATGTCTAAGAAAAATATAAAAACAAAATTTAATTTATTAGATTGTAAAAAATTAGCAGAAATTTTTTAAATTATAATTTTTCTAACAAATAAACTTTAAACTCTTTATGAGAAGCTCCGATATTTTGACTCAGAAACTTATTTTTCTTTTACAATAGTGTCAGCACGCTACTAAAATATGTTATGAATTCTTTTTCACAATCCCAAAAACTGATTTTCTCACATGGTTAAAAATACATATTAAAATATTCAGCAAAAGATTTTTTTTTCAGTAAAGTTTGTAATTCGTCACTGACATGAATTTTTTGTTTTCAAGGAGAATATAAAAATTAATAATCAATAAATATGGAAAATGTTATAAACCTTATCATCAAACCGTAAAGGAACATTTATTAACACTTCATGACGAGGATGTTTATAAGCCAAAAAAAATGTCTGAATCTTCCAGGACACACAGCTGAAAGGAAACAATCATATCGTCAGGGTTTTAAATTTGGAATATTTTACTCGCATCAGTAACAGTAACTAATATATTTATATTTACATTTCAAACACTTTTCAATCATTAAGAAAAATGCGATAAATTGCGAAAAAATAGTTCTTGAACAAGACAACTAGCAGAACAAATTAGTGGTCAGTAAACTCGAGTTAATTCAAATTGAAATATGAACTTTAGTTAATCTCGAATACAAATTAATTTCTTTATAAAGATTTTCGTTGCAAAACGACGAGGTTTTTCATGAGTCATTTGCTAAAAATTGTGATTGGGAGATTGTTGAAATAGCAAAGAACACTCGAAAAATCTTTTAAAGGATGTTGTAAGATTATTCAAACACGAATGATAGCGTTAATTGCCAGAGTTTAAAAGACCTTATGTTTGATATATTTTTTACCAAATTTTTGATCAAAATAAAACAAATCAATTTCAAATTAATAAAATGCCAAAAACCTGAATCTGCCTCACAATGTTGAATGATATTCAACGTACAAATTATTATCAAACACTGATTCAGATACATTATAAACGGCCAACTACGTTTTAAACAATCAAATACATTATAGACAAACAAGTACGTTGTAATATAACGAACAATTCTTCTTGCTGTCGAGATTAAATAGTTAATTGCAGTTTATAGGATGTTCACATGGATCTTGAATAGGATGCAGATGTACATAAATCATTGCATATGAATAAAAATATTATACTTGCAAATCAGTTCAAGCTGGTATGAAAAATTGATTAAATATTGTTTAAAGGTTGGTCAATGTTCTGCGTTTGAAATATTGTAAATTATTTTGTAAAATTTGAATGATTTAAAAATATACCTGTTTGTATTGCAATTGTATTGTAACTCTTGACTCTCGTAACTACCAACACCGATGTTATAACTTCAAAGATTTTAAAAATTGTCTGTATTTAGAAAACAGCATAAAAAACAGAGTTACAAGACAACAACATACCTTTTATATTTACCCAACAAGACTAAAATTGTTACAGGTAAGTCTGTTTCATTATGACCCGAAGGTTTGGAATTAATGCAGAAAATTTATTTTGTCACTTCATATTTTGCATTCATTTTATTTTAGACTGGTTGTACTTGTTGAGCTAATTATGTTACTGTCTCCTGCTTATTTTGCAAATAAACGAATAAATAAAATAAATTAAAAGATCTCTATATTTGGGAGTTACACACCAGTGTTGTAGCTTCCAACGATCGTCAAGCGTTCATTATTCCGTAGGTTCAAGATTTCCGATAGATAAACACAACTATTTCAAACGCAAACTTTGTAGAACTTTTATTTGAATACCAAACAGTAATAGAAACACTAAGCTAATCCAGTAAACTACAAAAATCACATTTACGACTTCCCTTCAAACCTCGCTGAAAACCTCTCTATAAACAAATTCTTAAATAGTCTCTACGGTAGATTTTTAGTACAGAATCGACATTTCTTTACAATCCTCTATAATTTACAATCCAAAGATTACAAATATAGCAAAGATAACAGTAAATAAGATAACAAATAATATAGCGCCATTTGACCATTTCGGTGGTTATGACAATATATACATTTATAAAGACGAATAGAAACAGATATAGATGGTTGAAGAAGGTGAGATGGTGGAATGGTTAAGGGACCACGTCCATCATGCTGTCAACTGTCGTAACCGGATTCGAATGCAATCGGATCCTAGTCTATCACGTGCAATGAGTGCAATGCGTGGAGTCACACGTGCACTGTGTAAGTGTTAGAAATGTTTCCGAAAAAATAATTTTAAATTAGAAAAAAAAATTATAATTATGAGGAAAAAAAAATAAATTCCCTGCAGATACTCGTGTTAATTGACTAGCAGACATGAAGCCATAAATTTACGAACATAAAATCACTCACTCACTCACTCACTCACTCACTCACTCACTCACTCACTCACTCACTCACTCACTCACTCACTCACTCACTCACTCACTCACTCACTCACACACTCACTCACTCACACACAATAATAATAAACAATTATATTAATTTACATAGTTTGTACAAATTTATGTACAAATTTTATTTGTTTCCAAAACAAAAAAAAACCTTGAAAATTGGGAGGAC